AGCGGCGAAGGCTGCAGCCCACGGCAGCTGGGGGCCAAGTGCAGGCCGCGGGGGACTTTGCTGAGTGCAGAGGCAGGCTCCAGGCGCTGGCGGAGCGAGTGATGGGGCGGACAGGTGAGGGGAGGCTGTGTCCGGACCGAGCCCGAGCCCGAGCCCCTCACTGCTCTTCCACCCCAGCAGGGAAGGAACCAGCTGTCCCACTGACATTGTGGGCTCGGGTCAGCTGAGCCAGTGCCTGCATCCCTGCCTCCCAGGAGGTGTCTCTCTGAGTCCCACAGGGCTCAGAGCCACCTTCTTGCAGTGAGATGAGCCCAGATTCTCTCTTGTAGCATGCTCATTTTGGCTGAGGCAAAGTTTGGTCCTTTGCTCATATGATCAGAGCCCTTTCCTCATCTCCCACTGATCTGACACCCCGCGGTGATGCTGCTTGTTCACCTTTCTGGGTTCCCAGGTCCTCCTAAGCCTCTTAGGCCATCCCAAACTGAAAGGCTGGGGAACGGGAAGGAGAACAGAGCTACCCTTTACTTGCTGCAGCCTTTTGGCTTGTATTCCCCAGCTCATCTGCTGGCAGGGCTGGGTGAGTGCTCTGGAGGCTCCAAACCCAGATCAGAGGTTGTTTTCCAGCTAGACTTCACCCTCCTCCTTCTCTTGCAGGTGCTGCTTCCCAGGCTGTCCCTGAGGTTGAGGTGGCCCTTGAGAACGACCTGGTGAGATGCCTGTATTTCTTCCCAGCATGCTATCACGGCAGGGGGAGCTCCCGTGTCAGTCGAGTTGCAGATCTCCCCCTTCCTCTGACCTTTGCAAGTCTTACCCGGGGGGCCAGTCTTACCCTTCCCCATCCCATCGATTGCTTAGTCGATAGGAAAAATGCTGCGGACCTTTCTGCCTGGACAGTAAGGAACCTACTTTGTAGCCAGCGGCCTAAAGCCTCGCTCTAACCGCTGCTCTGCACTCTCTCCCCAGCAAGAGGAGCCAAGCCAGCTCAGGAGCCAAGGGATCGTGCCCACCTTCAGGATCAGCCTCGAGGAGACGCAGGCGAGCACGGTGAGGACCACCTCTGCAGGGCTGTCCCCAAGCTGACCAGACTGGCGTCCTCGTGGTGCTGCAGTGCCCAATGTGGGTTGTCAGCCCCTCCTGAGCCCCTGCCCCGGGCCCTGCAGCCCAAGAGGTGCAGGCACGCACTGGGCCACCCCGCAATGGCACAGCAAGCTGTCAGGCTCCATGCCACAGGGATGTAGCGGAAAAATAGCCACCTGCCAAAGAGGTAGAAAAATGAGGGACAATATCCTCAAGCTTTGCAGCCCCCTTCTGCATAGGGGCTCATTTCCCAGATGTCTGAATCAGGGGCTGTTTACATCCCCCTGCCCAGGCACACACTGCCAGGGACATGGTGCCCCAGCCCACCCAAGCCCTTACCCCCGTGCTCTCCCTTGCCAGGCCCCCCCCGCCGCTACACGGCCCAAGTGGAGGTCACACCAGGTGGAGAGGGGCAGCCAGAGCTCACCCAAAAAGCTGAAGGTGGAGTGTGACAACGCGCCGGCCCGCAGCAATCCCATTTTAAACCAGTGGAACGACAAGGGTGGGCCCAGCACGTCCACGCCAAGCCAAAACTGCAGCAGCATCCCCACCACTAACGCCTGCAAGAGCCACGCTGATGACACAGGTAGGGACAAGGGTATGCGGCCCTCCTCCGTGTTACCCCATCTCTCCCTCTAGGATAGTCCCCCATCTTTCCCAGCCCCTGGCACCCCCCTGCACTTGGTGGCCTTGGCCAAGCCCCTCTTGGTCTGAGGCAGAGAGTGGAAACAGCTTCCCTGGTCATGAAGGCAAGAGCAATGGTGCTCCACAAAGATGCTCCATCCAGCCCTTTGCCTGGTCCTCGATGTAGCCAAAAGCTTACCTGAGCAAAAACATAAAAGTAGGGCAAGTTTGCAGAGATACTTCCCTGTCTCCAGCAGTTGGGAGCTCTGGATTTGCCTGGAGCAAAAAGTGATCACTGCAATATTTAGTGACTGGCACTGAGCACACCCAGCCGCACAGGAAGTTTGTGTACCTGCAGCATCCTGGAGGGAGGTGGCCTGCAGCTCAGCCATACACCACTGCATCAGCAGAGGAGAAAGGAAGAAACACCATCCACCTAAGAGGCTGAAGCAACATGCACATGGGGCTTAAACAGGGTGGAAGATGGCTCTCACTCAGATCTAGGAACGGGGAGGTAGCAAAAAACTTCCCTGAGTGGGCTGGTCCACGAGCCACGGCTGGATGGGTTTATGCTCCTGATGGAAGATTTTGCCCTCTGGCTAAGTGCAGAAAGGCTGGACAAGTTAGGAGGAGGTAAACCCAGTCCTCCTGTCATAAAACCAGAGGGAGCCTGCTTAGCCAGCTGCAAGCCTCTCTCCCCCTCCAAAAATCACAGTTTCCCCTCCCAGGCCCAGAAAGCTTCAACTCTATCTTGTTCCTTCCACAGGAGTTACCAGCATCATCATATGCAGCTCAGAGGACAGCGAGGAAGACACAGTGGTGAGTGTAACGCCAGACCTCCCTCATTGCTGAGCAGGACAGGGCGACGGTCCCCTGGCCCCGTGACGCGGGAGGCAGAAGACGGCAGCTGGCCCTTGCTGAGACCAGTCACAGCCTGCCCCACTGCTGCCAGGCTTTGAGTCTTCCTTCTCCTCTTGCTTCTTCAGGAGGAGGGTGGGCCAAAGAGGTGCCCCATTTTCCTGCCTCACTGTAGATATCCCCTGCCCAGCACAATCTCTGCTTCTCCTCTCCTGTTTGCAGGCGGACAGCAAACCGACTTGTAGCAGCAGGGAAGAGAAATAGCATCTTCCGCACCCCACACATGCTCCCTCACTGGCATCTCTTTTCTTTCCTTAAACCGTGCCCAGATCCAAGCCTCTTCCCATCCTCAGATCAGCTAGACTCACTCAAGGCTTCCTCTTCCCCTTTGTTTGCTGTAGTGAACAGGGCCGACTGCACAATGCACGAAGGGGGCCCTGGACGCTTGGGAGGGATCTTGGCCTCTTCTCTTTGACTCCATACTTTCCCTAGGTGTGCCTCAGTTTCTCCAGCAAAGAGGAAACAAGGGTTTCTTCTTAGTCCAAACTTTGGTTTCTCTTATAAAGAGCCTCCTGGGCTCTGTTGTAAAGATGGAGCCAGGTGGGAGCACTCAGCTCAGCAGAGAGCAGTGGGCTGCACAGCAGGGTATGAGCATGCTCCCCTCAGCTCACCACCAGCCAAGGGCAAGCCAGAGTAGTCAGGGTAACCGCCTGGAGACCAGGATAGTAGCCCAAGGAAACATTCAGCCTGACTAAGACATGAGCCCACCTTCTCCGTGGTCTAGGCTCTGCTGGTATCAGCAAGTCCCTTCGGGAACAGCCAGGGCTCTGCTCCCTTCTTTCAAAGGCAGCAACCCTCTCTCTGATTTGCACCAAGGTGGGATCACAAGCAGGTAGCACAAGGTAGATGATCTCCCAAGACGACCTTTCCGAGTCAGTCTACAGCTTCTTGCTTTCTTTTTCTCTGGGCAAATGAACAGCTGTCCACCTCGGACTCTTCCCCAAGAAAGAGCAGGGATTTAGGAGCCTCAAACCCACAGGATCTGGTACCCCCCTCCTTGTGAGGGAACATACACTCGCCTATAGACCTGATGGGCCTTAAGCCCACCTATAGACTTGATGAGAAAATCTTGTCCAGGCCAGGGGCTATTCATGGTCAAAGGGGAATGAATCCAGGAGGGCGAGTAGTTCATCTGATCAGCCACCAGCATGTCCCTTCCAACTTCATTACCAAGGACCATCATGCAGCACTTAGAGGTAGTAGAAGAGCAATGTATGGGGACAGAGGATACCTCTTCTTTTCTGTTTAGGCTTCAAGCTGTGCTCAGATAATTGCAAAACTCACACTGCCACAGGGAAGATCGCTTAGCAAACATCCATAGCTATTTGCTCTTCTTTTCATAAGAGATATTCAGACCAAAGTCCCTTCAGCACCCCTCTCAAGTGCAAATTATCACAGTAGATTTCCTTCTGCAGGCTGGGATGTGGTAGGAACAGCTACTAAGCCTCACTAGGAAGGTTATTCTCAGCTAAAAAAAAAAAATCAGTCTTTGGATAAAAATCGAGTTTTGGAGTTGAATGTAGCACTCATGCTTGGAGGCAGAGCAGAATTCATCAGTCCTGCTGCCTAAATAAGCCAAGAAATTCCTGGAAGCCACCACAGCAAGTAATGTCCATCCAAGGCTTCCTAAAGTGACACTCCTCCACTTCAGAGCTCCCTGCGATGAGATTTAATAGCCTTGCCAAAGAAGGCTTGTGTGTTGCAACTCAGTGGCCCAGACAAAGGTCGTTAGATGAACCAAACGTGGGCTCTCTCGAGCCACTCAACTCACTGGAGCCCCCCTACAGCACCGAGCCACACAGGTTTCATGCTTGCTGTAATCATGTTAAAAAGGCAGAGCCTCACCTTCAAAGCACACAGGGCTAGATTTTGGCTGTTCATCTTGCAAATCATTTGTTGGGCACATGGACAAAGCAGCCCTCCACGAGGACGCAGGATCTCCACCGAAATGTCATTACCTCCAGCATTAGCAGGATATCCTTCTGGAAACCAAGCAAGTGTGGCTGGTTTAGGATTAAGGGGGGCTATTTTTGTGGCACTGGCTGAATGAGGAGCTAACAGCCTTTTTTGTATAAACTAATAATGCAGAAGCTCTTATTACTCTTCAATAAAGCTATTTCCAGAATAAATCCCAGCCCGCTGCTGTCTTCCTTATTCCTTTTGCTAAGCTGTTTTTCCTCACTGTCCCAATTCCTCACTAGCAGGGAAAAGAGCAGCAGGTCTAAAACCACTCACCAAGTTCTATCCCTGCTTGCCAGTGGCCTTGTACTGTCACTTCTAGTACCATGCCACAAGCCTTGTGCTAACTTCAAAAGGGCTTGGGGCTGGGGGCCTGTTACGAGCTTGTTGTGTGTTCACACTGCTGCATGAACCACATATCTAGTTACAATATGGAGTTTAAGCATGGGATAGTAGCAAAGGTGTTGAAGATATGGGCAGAGGCAAAAACAGAGATCCCAGGGCTATAAGCAACTCCTCGATGGTCAGATGCTGGTCACTAAAGCACCCATGAAGTGCATCCTTGAGAACTGGAAAAAACTGGTTTAAGCACGGCAAGGTGGAGAAACAGTAGCAGCAGACCAACGGGATAAGGCATCTGGGTGCAGCCTGGGCATTGCATGGCACAGTGCAGGGGGACCTAGAGACTCGGACATCTTACAAGAGGACAAGACCCCAATAGCGGGGGGATATTGGGATCACTTTGGGATTGTCTTGCTACACACATCGAACTGAAGCTGCAAGCACACGGCTTGCTCCCAGGGCCTTGGCTCCTCAAGGACCAGCTGGCCAGTCATCCAGGACCGCATCTGCTGGTATGAGTGCCTGAATGTGTGGTTCTCCCCAGACCCCCTGCCCCTGAAAAAAACCTGCATGATTTCCTGTCTCACTCTTCAATAAAGCCTTCTTGCATATAAATTCAATTTGGCTAGTTGCTATTTTGGGTAGCAAGAGCATCTGCGATCGCATTATGTTGCCAAGTTTGGTTCATCTAACTCCCTTATTGCCCCTTTCAAAGGCTCGGGACAACAGGGTCATTAAAGGCACAACCAGATGATCACAGCCAGGCTGCAGTGACATAGGGAGCTGCCACCACCCAGTCATTATCACCATCCCACCCCTGTCCTTTTCCAGGGAGAGGAACCCATGCCTTAAAACACCTCCCCTAGTTTTCCCTGGCATTAAAGCAACTCCGGTCACCCAATTGCCTTTGGATGAGGAGGGGTAAGAAATCACTTGATTCTGATGATGTGCTGGTGAACACTTGTTCGACCACATTTCCAGTGCTCCTGGTCTCCTTTCCAGCATTTCTGGTCTCCAGGTGGGAAGAGTTTTGCAAAATTGTCCCAGTGAAGGTGCAGTGAGCCAGTGCTTGGAGCACAGATGTGCAGGGAGATGCATGTCCTATTCCTACAGGGTGGTCAGTGCTATTTTGGGAAGAGAAACCACAGCCAAGCTGTGAGCTGCCATGAACTCGCCTCTCATCCTGGCAGTGCAGGGTCACCCCTGGGGGAAGGGGCAGAAAAACAAGGTCAGAGCCTCTTGAACACACTGGCCTGCTCTTCCTATTGGCAAATACTCACTGTTAATGTCTGTCCCTGCTGAGGCTGCAGGGGCTGTTTGAAGCCTGACAGGGCAGAGAGGCTCTACCGAGGGCCTGGGTTGCAGAAGCACTGGAGGCTCTTTCCTTCTCTGTCCAGGGCTTGTCAGTGGGCTCCAGCAGGGCACTTCTCCCGCTCTGTGCCTCAGCTTACCCTCTGCAGCCAGGTGGCTAGGTTTACTTACTCACCTTGGGAAATCCTGTGCAAGGACAAGCACAGGATGTCTGCTGAGCCCAGAGAGACATCAAACCTCCACCTTGCCCAATTCATTCTCTTTTTCCTGTTTAGGCCAAACTTCTCCTGTTTAAGCCCATTAGCATCTAATACCATGGTTGCTCAGCCACATTTGTGTCCACTGTTTGGACATTAGGATGTGTCCACATGGACGAGTGCAGAAAAGAACAGCGGGTCCCAGGACCTGGGCGCTATCTGCTCTGCTGGCTGTTATCTCACTCCCACTGCTCAGTTAACAGCTGCCCTGGGGGGCTCTGCTCTTGCTCACCTGGCCCTGTCTGCTCCAGGAGCTCAGCTCAGGCTCTGGGCTTTCTGGGACTCACTGAGCCAACCTACTCCTGAGACATGACACAGGCTCAGCCCTTCCCCAGTGGTGCAGGGACACAATGGGTTTGTGGCAAACATGAGTGGGTCCTTGCTCAAAGCCTCTGGGTTTGCATTGCACCCAAAGCTGCAGTTCATGCCTTCCCAGAGTCCAGAGCAGGTGACTTCAGGTCAGCAGCTCAGCTGCTTCTCTGCTCTCTTGCAGGTCTCCAGTGAGCCCTCTACCCTCTTACACTCAGGGAGCAGCACCTCGCACCACAGCCCTGGCTCTGCCAGCCCCTGGGGCTACGGGCCAGGGCTGAGCACCTTGGTGTTCTTCGACTTGAAGGTCGACCAGAAAAGTGAGCAAGTTACTCTGCCCTTTAAGGGGCTGGGGGGAGAGCGAAGGGTGGCCATGAGCAGAGAGGGGCAGGCTGGCTCAGGGGGCATCCTGCTTGCCTGACAGGCTGGGGCTCAACCTTTCACCTCCCCGGGCCTTATGCCAGCCCTACACTTTCCCCTCTGCAGCTCAGCAGATCACACAGATAGCAGCAGCCAACGGAGATCACACCTTCAAGACACTGATCCAGACACCCGAGTCAGTGCTCATGCTGCTCTCCCAGGGCGTCCCCTTGGAGACGGCAATGGAGCAGCTCCTCTGGTACCTCCGCTCCGTCCCCAGGCCTGTCCTGGTGGTCTACAACTTCTGGGCACCAGAGCTGCCTGCTCTCTTTAAAGCTCTGGATGCCACAGCCAGGAAAGTGGACTTCTGCCACACTGTGGAGGGTTACTGGAACATGTTGCCCATAATCAAAGAGAAGCTTCCCAAGGCACCTTCCTACAAGCTGAAGAGCCTGCTGAGAAAACACCTTCGGCAACAGCTGAACGAAGGCAGCGCCCTGGCAACAGCGAAAGCACTGCAGGATCTGGGTGAAGCCCTGGGGCTGTTCTCCCACCCTGATCCAGGGCCCTTGTTCACACACTGCAACCTGCAGAGTTACACAATCCTGCAGGCCCTGGTGCAGGAAAAGCTCCTCACCAAAAGAGCCGCCAAAATCCTGGCCAGGCGCAACCTCATCCTCTGGGAGCTGGAGCAGGCGTAGGCAGCAGGAAGGCCCCAGCAGGGCTGCAGCACCAAAGCTGTTGCACCATGACATGGGCTGGCCAGGTCCCAGGCTAACCCTGTCACAGATGCTTGCTCTGGCTTCCTGAAGAGCCTCCGAGGAGCCGAGCACACCTAGCCTCAGTGCAGAGCTGCTCAGGCATCCCCCCCCACCAGTTTCCAGCATCTGATGCATTAGCCAGGGTTCACCGTTCCCTGCGAGTTCCTGACCCCTTCCATCCCTGGCATAGGATGTAAAAGGGATCAGGGCTCCAGGTCAGCTCTAAGGGGAATAAACAATCCCATGAATTAACATCTTTAGAAAATAAATTATGCAGCACAGCCCAGCAGTGTCTCTACCTCTCCCAGCAAGGGCACAGGGAAGACATTCTCTAAATGCTATTTGTACCAAACGCAATGCAACCATTTCGGAGAGAAAGGGAATCAGCCCTGTCCCAGCTAGGCAGCAAGAGGTACCTTTATTTTGCAGACCTTTGCAGCCCAAATCTGGCCTGAAGTGGCAGGCAGAGATTTCTAGCTGTGTCACCCCCTTTGGAGGGGCTGCCATGTCCCAGTACTGGGGCAACACACACATCCTTTGCCCCCATCTTCTCTGGGGCCTGGGCCTCCTGTCCCTGTGCCAGAGGCAGGGGGGTGTGAGCGTGACATGGACAGGGCAGTGCAGGAGACACACCACCAGGTGTCTCTTTTGTACAGCTGGGCGCACAGTTGCACGTGTTTGTCCAGGCGTACACGCATGCTTGTACATGCTATACAGCCACATTAGTGCACAAACACATGTATTCACCCAGACACTTGTGAATGCACATGCATGCTTGTGCATGCACATAAGTAGGCACCCACACACTTGTGGGCACACAGATACTCTCCCAAATGCACACACACGCAAAGATACCCCCATGCAAGCTGCCACACTGCTTTCCCCATATTGCCAATTCCATGGGCATCCCTACACACATAAGCACATCCATACAACACCCCCCCCCCCTCCCCGCCTCATCCTTTCCCCCCAGAGAGCCATGGCCTCTATCACGTGCACATCCTGCCAAAGGCCTTGCCAGGATCTGCCTAGCTGCAGCCATCACCAGGGCATCTGGCCTGCTAAAGGAGGCACAGAAGGAGGAATAGCTGCAGCAGATCACGAGGCTGGACAGTGATATGGGCCCAGGAGAGCCTCCAGACAGCAGTCCTGGGGGAGAGCACCCGCTGCAAGCTCTCGGGAGCAAACTCTACTTTTCCCCCCCACCAGCTAAGCCAGAGGTGCAGGGGCCTGGTCCTCTTCCTCCAAGTCCAGGAGGAAGAAGGCGCAGTCGGGGTGGACTCCCACAGAGGGCAGCCCAGCCAGGGCAGTGCCAACGCACCATCAGAGA